TGACTGGTCGATACAATGAGTGATCTGTGTAACGGAGAAAGAAAATCATACCCATATTTGGACGGTTTCTCCTGTTGATGAAATGTTGTGAAACATTGAGATTACCATTACAAATTTAGATAAGCCCAACTAGAAAACACAAACTGGCTAACCGAAACGAATTTTCTAAAGTCTAACTAGTTATGGTCCACCTTAAAGTGCCATTGGGGTGTTTGGTCAACTAAAACATATCATATAAAAATTAATTATCAGATGATTTTGTTTAGATGTCTAGAGAGAATCGGTTTACATAAATCGATCTTAAACACGTTTATAACAAAGTTACATTAAATTTTTACCCGCAAATAGTTCATAATGAGTTAAATTGAAATTTGCTAAAAAATTACAACATAACTTTTTGTTATAAACGTGTTTAAGAATTGACTTATACTAAAATAATTGAAAGGCGATTTCTCTAGACATCTAAAAACATACAAATCATTCTTTACTATTAAATAATCCCCCAATGTGTCATGTATAATGTCAAGGAATTTATATTTTACATTTTTTATTTTACTTTCAAGCGAGTAACATAGTTATGGCACGGGCTTATGACCAATTCAACAATGATGTTATCCTAACGCTAATTTTGAAAATTTCATCTAAATATTATATATATATTGTCGGGTATGATGCTAAAATTTTGATTTATTTTATTATGAAATTCTAAAAAAATTTCGGGCCTTTTCGTTAGGGGTTTTTTTTTTAGAGTTAGGTTAGGGTTTGAGGGTAGAGTTGTTAGTAAAAAAAGTATATGTAATTTTAGTAGGTATTATAGATTTAAATGGGGACCCTAAATTTCAGCATCATCCCGACATATATTAATACAAAATAGAAAAGATATATTTAAATTTTTTTGTACCGAAAGCTTCTGATTAATGATAGCTAATTTCAACCGGGGTCAAATTGCCACTCAAAAAAATTCGGATCATGTGATAAATATCATAAGTTTATTATGGCGGTTTGCAAACCTCTGCAGCAGGGATGATGATTTTCTGGTTTGGCTAAGACTAAATTCCGCGTGATTAAGACAAATTCTGTGATTTAATGTGGTAAATTTTTAAACCTTTACCAATTTCTGCGACTTATGCGACAAAATTCTTAAAATTTTTTACAAGTCGTAATTCCGTAACTTCCGACAAGCGTGCTCGTAATTTGTGTTTCTACCTTTCCGGGACTTCCCAGTGGTGCGAACCTGAATTTATGCGATATCTTAGAATTCTGTGATGTTCTGCGCTATTTTTTTAGAATTCTGTGACATTCTGCGGTGAATAAGAGTGATTTCTGTTTTTAAAGAGAATTCTGCTGATCTCAGTAAATCATTCCCTGCTCTGCATGATATCACGAGAAATCGGCCGATTCTAGTAGATTTTTCGATTCTTAAATTTTAAAGATTTCGAATAAAATATAGACGTTATTGATTGAAAATTAAGATCAATAGTATTAAAATCTCGGAAATTTTCCCGCTATCATCATCATGAACACATCTTTTTGCAAACTGCCATAATAAAATTTTTCATATAAAAATAGTAATAATTAATTTTGAATGCGTGAATAATGTAAATCACATGATCTGGAATTTTGAAATCACGAGAGCGCAAAATTTTGTGCCATAGCTACTAGTTCCTAGTTTCTAGTTTAGTTTTTAGCTACTTGCTCACACATATATCAAAAAATAAAAATAAATAAACGTTAAGAGGCCTGGAAAAGTTGTCGACGACAATGGAACACAACAACCACGTGACTTGTTTCGAATAATTTCTTATTCAGTTCGATAAAACTTAAAGTGAAATTTCATCAGGAAATTAAATAAGTGCAAATATGCAAAAATCTGTATTTTTGCAGAATTTTTACAAAAAATCTGCAAAATTTTATAAAATTTAAAGTTTTATACAGAAATAGTATTTATTATAGCTACCAGGTTTGAAGTTTTGCACAGATTTTCATTTGATTTATTATTTAATTTTTTTTGCAAATCTGTACAGAACTGCACTACATAAAAAAATTTCCCGATATTATTTTTATAACTTTATTTAATGATAATACATGGAAGGATAACTGCTCTGCTAGATATTGGACAAATCACCTGCAAGATATTGGGCAAGTTTTTATCGTCTATTCTGTCTAATCCAATGATTATCAAGATATAAGGAAGTTAGAGTAGTTCTTTTGAAAAGAATTTTTGCTACCGTTTTTTCTTCCTCAGAATAAATATCACTATTAATAGATTAAAATATAATAGCAAGTGTTACCATATTGTCACGAAATAACTTCCAGAGGTTATCTTGAAACACAATTTAAAGAGAGTTAAAAAATAAATAATTTACTTTTTAAATCTTTGGCAAGTTTTACTAGCTGATAGCTAGTTTGTCACATTCTGAAATGATAAAATGGTGTAAAATTTTCACTACTTCAAATTCATCTATTTCGAAGTCTCCAACTGAATCTCTGATTAGATCTTGATAATTTCTTTTTATATATAACCACTTTCCATGTACAAAATCATCAGAGATTAAAGAAAGATCACTACCACCAAAAGATGGGCCATCACTTCCACCACAAAAAATCACCTTTCTTGGTTTAATAACTCTACTAAATTTAGAATTTCCTTCCTTCTTTAAGGAAAAAATAAAACTTTCAGTTGTTTTTATAAATCTGCTAAACCTTTGTTTTTCCCATTCAAGAGGATTATATCCACCAAGAATTTTGTCTGTTCCTTTAACCTTCAAAACTATAACTGTCTTAATTAATTTATCACTGGTATACAGGGTACTTTTAAAAATCTTTTCAAATTCATATAGAATATTGTTCACATCATATAGTTTAAAATCAATCTGTGAAGCAATTTCTGCAGCATGTTCTAGACTTAAAAGTAATTGACTTTCTTCAGTTTCTTTAATTACTAAAGAACTGTCTTCAGTCTCTTTAATTACTAAGGAACTGTCTCTAGTCTCTTTGATTACTAAGGAACTGTCTTTAGTCTCTTGAATTACCAAGGAGCTATCTCCAGTCTTTTTAATTACTAAGGAACTGTTTCTAGTTATTTTTTTAATATCTAAGGAAATTTCATTCAATTGACTTAATGCAAGAGTTAATTTTGGCTGTTTATCTAGATTTTTATCCCAACATTTTTTATAAAGATAAGTGTATTCAGGAGGTATATTTTCAACAGGGCTTTCTCTATTCCTTTTTATTATCCTATCTACAATTTCAGCAATTTCACGTCTATCAAATGGTGGTTTCTCACTAGAAATTTTCCAAAGAATTACTCCAAAACTGTAGATATCAGATTTCTTATTACGTTCGTAAGTTGGGTTTAAAATTTCAAGACACTTGGGCTCTATAAATGCAGACACTCCAAGAAGACAGATCCAGGATGTAGGTGAGATTTTCCGGATCACGTGTAATCCGACTCTCCGACCCTATCCCGGATTTACATTTTTATTTATTTCAAATTTTGATTGTCATTACTGTATTATCTATTTATATTTTTTTGTTTGTAAGCTTGTTTTAGTAATGATCATATATATACGTTATCTTTTTTTTTTAATTTGTGCATTGTAATTTTTTTTTAAAATTTTATCTATTTATATCTTTGATCTTTTTTCACTTTTGTAGCTTTCGATTTTTCGCTATCACTTCTTTACTTCCGATCCTATATTTAACTACTACTTCTTTTCTTCTGTTCTTGTAGTTTAGTTTTTAGTTCTTTTGTTTTTTGGTCTCATGGCATGTAGTTAAATTGTATTTAACTACCACTTCTTTTCTTCGGTCCTGTAGTTTAGCTCTTTTGTCTTTTGGTCTTGGGTATGTAGTTAATTTACCACTTCTTTTCTTCAGGTCCTGTAGTTGAGTTCTTTCGTTTTTTGGTCTCGCGGCATGTAGTTAAATTGTATTTAACTACCACTTCTTTTCTTTGGTCCTGT